CCTCAAGCTTACACATTCCCACCATATATGGTACATGGTTCCTGGCTTTTGCCCACATCGCCAACATAATCTAGAATAAACTGGCAAGGTCCTGTGTAGTCTAACTGAAACCATGTACCACCTATAGATTAGCTTTAAATGAACCTCACAGAGGGAAATACAATGAATAGTACGCTTCACTAATAATGTTGTTTTGATCCATTCCGAAAATAGAAATGTTTTCCCAATATCCAATTCCCATTTTTCAAAAGGGGCAATCTTAGAGGTTTGTTCCATTGATTTAATTAATTTGATAGCTCTGGAAATCAGTCCCTTAGATTTACTTAGAACTGAGAAAGGGTCTATGGTATGATTACAGGATATTGTCCTAGTCATAAAAAATGTTTTAAATATTGGAAAAGTTCTTTGGATGGAAGTTAAAATTTTACCTGTAGTTGAGCAAAGGGAATAAGATTATTTTTACAGGATAGGTCTGAGATCTTTGTTATACCATATTGGATCAATTTCTGTACATTGATATCCTCCATCATATATAGTAACATATCCAAAGGAGCGTTGTACACTAGCTTATCATGCAGATTTAATTTTTTTTCTTAATATTCTAGAACAGACATAGGCAACCTTCGGCACTCCAGATGTATTGGACTACACCTCTCATGATTCTTTGCCCAGTATTTTAGTTGACAGATGTCTTTTAAAAGCAGCTAAAGCTTAGAACAACTCTAAGAGTTTTCTTTGTCTTGGAATGGGCAGATGAGTTTACACTTGAGTGGTACTAAAAGCCTCTATTATTTAATAAAGTGCATTGGGTTTGGGGCAGTATGCAGGTACTTTTTAATTTTAGTTAATTGTATTACTTTTTAGTTTAAGAGTTTGGGTTTAACCCCTAAGGACTGAGACAATTGTCCAAGTTCTGACAAAAAAACCCCCCAAAAACCAGAATTTGAGTTACATGTCTCTTTAACCATAATTTACCTCATTCATGTTAAGTGTACCCACACTTATTATATATCATTTTATTCAGGAGAAAAAGTGCTTTCATTTCACATCAAATATTTATATATAAAAAACATAATTGAATATGAATAAAATCTAAAAGTGTAAAAAAATGTATTATGGGGGGCGGGGCCTGGCCGGGCCGCCGGGCCGACTGGACGCCATTCACATGGGATCCAGCAACAAAACGCTAGAAACAGCACCAAACAGAGCCCAAACTCGCTCAAACGAGCAAAACCTGCCGCATCTGAAAGGGGGAAAGTACCGACCCTCACCCGATACCCGCACAAAACTGACCGCGGGGCGGTGGGCTGAGAGGAGTGGGTCCAGCCTACACGCGGCCTCAGAGCACCTGCCACCATTGCGGTGAACTGGCACAATAAAGAGCCAACCCGCTGAGAGACGAGCATTCTTGGCGAGGGGAGACCCCTGGCCCCGGGCACGGCCCCGTCTCCCCCCCTGGCCAGCGGGGGATATCCCGGCCACACATGGTGGAGACAGGTACCACAGCGGTAGCCCCCGCATGGACACAATGCCGACTACTTGTACTGGCAATGGCAAAGAGACGGCCAGCCAGCTGTACTGGACATTAACACTGAGGAGAAATCCCCTAAACGGTGAAAACATCCTGGCAGGGACAGAGAAGACTCAAGCTGACACAGAAGCATAGGAGGTTGCGGATTCTATGCAGCCGCGCTATACCACTGGCATGGTTTCTCCTCAAGGGCATCATTGAAAGAGGAGTGCAGAGACACCAAAGGAGACAACTCACCGAGGGGAGACGAACTGGATGGCGGGGCAGACCCCGGTGATGCCGGGACCCCGATGGACCCCCCGTGATGCCTATCAACCCGCAGGAAAAGTGAGTGCCTGAAGCTGAGAGCCCTGTGGGGTAGGTCTGCGCAGCCCTCCCGGCAGACCGGTGGCCGGGAGCGGCGTTCACCGGCCCCAAGTGTGAGGCCAGCACCGGGAGAGACAATGGGACACAATCTCCACTGGGTCTGGAGCGGTGGTGGGGAGGTGCAGGGAGCGAGAGACCCGCGGATCCTAGGTGTGGGGGTCCAGCGTATCATTTCTGCCCCCGGGTACCCACAGCATTGCGGAGGACTCAGGTCCTGGGGGAGACTAACAGAGACTCGGCGGCCCTTATCGGACTGACACTACGAACAGTCCTGCTGTTATACTGTTGTAAACACTATAGTTATACTAAACGTTGCGAGGTGTACCTTCGAGCCCTGCTACAGTTCGTCTTAGCTGGTTACTATCTTAGCGAATATCACTTTAGGCTAGTGACTGGCTGTTAACTGGTTGGACCAAAATCAGCTGCCACAATGAGGAGAATAAATATTGCACTACTGCGTAGCTAAAAGCCCATAAAGTATGATTAAGAAGTAGCGCTACCCTAAGCTACACATAAACGCAGGCTAGGCAATTCACAGCTGCATACTGCCTGCCGGTAACAATATCAGAAGGGCTGAATGCAATATACAAAGTCTGCCTTTTCATTTCTGTATCTATTTTTATTGCTTATGTTAAACACCTTTTCTAAACCTAATAAGAATGCCGCTGCCCTACCTGCTAAAGCTAAATTCTGCGCTGTCTCAGGGCTCTCATTTCTAATTTCTTGAATGTCTTATTGCTCTGTTACCTTTGCTATTTATACGTAACGTAAATGTGTCAGGTTTAAGCTTTCTCTAAATAACGCAACATGTAACTGTATGGCCCTAACTTTTGCAGCCAGCGCACGCAGAATAGATACCCAGAAGTTGAGCATAGCATGCCATTGCCCAGGCAAAAGTCGATGTATTTATAGTTTACGAAGACATGACTATGCTATCTTTACTTAATGCATTAAATAAATATATGGCTTTAACCCACGCAGCATGCACAGGATATTCAGCTGCTGAGAATGGCGACCCATGCCGAAATTTAGGTATCTACGTTTATTAACTCAGTATATGCCTGTCTCTTAACATACCACCTCGTTGACATGTGCCGCCATCAGATTATCTGCAGGCTTCAGTTAATGATGGTGGATTTATATGATTGTAGGATCTACCCGGGTGCAGTCATATAGATTATTGCAATATATAGGTTATACAACCTGATGGCGCCATCCATTATTCTGTTAGGATAACACTATTGAGATGATAGGCTACTGCATGGGCTTATAATAGAGCACGATAAGTTCATATTCTACGAAACGCACGCAACGAAACAGAAGACAGTATATTATTATGCACGTGATCTGATATACACGCCTCTGCGCAGGTGAATATATGCATATACTTCCATGTACCGAAATATATGCCTCTGCGTAGGTGAATACTTGACTCAATAATAACTTGTCTGATGTCCGCATTTATGTTGTGATAACAACAAAAATATTTAAAAAATGTGAATGCGCTAATACTATTAGGGTTTACTACAATTAAACACATATTTGTATGCTGTGATCTCCTACATATACAATGATGCCCCCATGTACAGGTTTTGTGGTGTTTTGGAAAGTTAGAGGGTCAAATAAAGAGCTGGTCCATTTCAGTTTTTACACATTGAAATTTGCCAGATTGGTTTCCTGGGCGTATGTTGCCTTTAAGACTTTATGGCAGCCCAGAAACCATCATGGCATATCATATCATATTTGCAAAAGTAGACTACCAAGGGTATTCAAAATGGGGTATGTACTGTCTTTTTTAGTAGCCACTTACTCACAAACCCTTGCCAAAATTAGTGTTCATGTTTGTTTTGAGCCATTTTCACACACACAAACTGCACTTTCACAGATGATATCATCAGTATTCAATTTGCAACTCCGAAACACTCATATTTGTGTTCAGTGATGTCTACAACAGTACCACAATGTACAGGTTTTATGGGGTTTTGGAAGTTAAATAGAGGGCTAATTATCAGATAGGTCCCTCAATATAAAATTATTGAAATCACATAATTATGTAAAAATAATACATAAATATACAAGTAGAATTTATTTATATACATATAATTTCATTCTAAGTATATTTTGATATTAAACTGGCTGTCACTCATTTATTTGCAAAGTTATACATAAGGAAAAGTTGGGACTCTGTGTTAGACACTTTAAGATGGTGGAGCTGTAAAATAAGACCCAGAAAGACCAGCAAATAGCAAAATGTAAGTTGTATCGGCCCTAGAGTCTAAAAAGATTGGATGTGGAGACATTATAGATGTGGAGACATTATAGTGAATCAGTGGCAGATCCAGAAGCTAATCTCGGGGGGGGCACTGGCAGATCATTTTAAGAAACAATCCAGGCACAATAACCACTAAAGCTCTCTGTACTGGTTTTGGTGCCAGGGTTTGCTGTGGTGCCCTCCCAGAGTAAGTAGTCAAACCGTTTAAAAAAAGTTTGATAACTTACCCAGTGTCTGCTAGGATAGGGGCTGTAGTGTGTGTGTGTGAGAGTGGTGCAGTGTATGTGAGGGTCGCAGTATGTGTATGGAGGGGTGGTGCGTGTGTGAGAGGGGTGCAGTGTATGTATGGGGTAGCAATTTGTATATTGGGAGCAGTGTATTTGTGTGTAAAGGGTGCAATGTGTTTGTGTGTTAGTGGCGCTGTGTGTGTGTGTATGGGGGGCTGTGTGTGTATTGGGGGCTGTGTGTATAAGGGGGCAGTGTGTGTATTGGGGGCTATGTGTGTATGGGGGGCAGTGTGTGTAAGGGGAGTCAGTGTGTGTAAGGGGGGGCTGTGTGTGTAAGGGGAAGCTGTGTGTGTGAAGGGGGGCTGTGTGTGTAAGGGGTCTGTATATTTGTGTGTGGTGCAGTGTGTAGGGGCTTATAGTTTGTGAGGGGATAGGGGGGCTGTGTGTGTAAGGGGAGGTTGTGTGTGTAAGGAGGGCTATGTGTGTATGGGGGCTGTGTGTGTG